GGAGCCCAGCAGGTCGAGGCTGCAGTGGCCGGGAGCGTGCTACTGCACTCCAGTCTGGGTGACAGAGTGAGACTCCAGCTTTAAAAAAAAAAAAAGTGAAAGGACTTTGCCTATGCATTGCTCAAATCTCATTCCCCTCAATTATTTTGAACACTGCTGTCATCACTGAATAATTTCTGAAGGAGCAAGATGCTTCCTGAAGACGTCTGGGGTACAGGTTTGGGCAGACCTTTCGTTACATGTCAGCATCTTTACCTTATTGTTTTCCTAAATCAGATGTCCAGAGAGACATAGATAATCCATTGTGCCATGATGATTTCTTTATAATGTTCTCTTTGTTCCAACAGGGCTGTGTACTTTGCATGTTACTCCAAAGCCAAAGAGCAATTTAATGGCATTTTCGTGCCTAATAGCAACATTGTGCATATTTTCTCAGCTGGCTCTGCAGGTATGTTACCCCAGTGAGTGGAAACAGAGTTTCTTGCTTTCCTAAAGCATACATTGTGCCAAACAGGTTTTCCAGGAATTAGAAATTAGCCCCCCCCTCCACGGGCTTCCATCACATCTAAAGTCCTTTTTCTAAAGCCTTATGTTACAACTGACAGAATATGAGTATTGAGAGCAGTTTGAAGCTTGTTTCATTTTCTTTGACTGCTAAAGCTTTTTATCCTCCCTCAAAATTTACGTTTTTTATGCATGCTGCTGATGTTATGTTCTTTTAAAGGAATATTACTGGGCTTTTCCTGTCTTTCTGTTTCCCCATTAAATTATTTTCTAAAAGTAGAGCTGCTTTCTTTTTTATATATTTTATTTTAAAGATGTGGGATACAATTCAAGGTTAGATATACAAATGTTCACTATGCAGGTACCCCTGTTGATGAGGTGTGCCCTTCCCTCTCCTAGAGCTGCTTTCTTTGTGACTCTGCACTGGGTTCAGCACCCTCTATGTACAGTTGGCATGTGTGTCCCTAACAACTGCGTTGTCCAGTAAGGGTGCAGGGCTTTCAGTGGAGTTTTCCAGTAAGGTCAGTGACCGCTCAGAGCTTCTGTTCTCTTTTGAGGGAGTCATTCCACTTACTACACAAAAGTCATAGCAGGACTTTTTCCCCAGAAGGTACTTGTTAGAAAATACAAACTTAAAGATCTCTGAGGGAGAGACTTGTCTTTTGTAGAGAGTTTTATGTCCATTTAGTTTTTTTGGTTTTGTTTTTTAATTGGAGTCTCACTCTGTCACACAGGCTGGAGTGCAGTGGCATGCTCAGGGCCACCACAGCCTTGACCTACCGGGCTCAGGTGATCCTTCCACATCAGCCTTACAAGTAGCCTTATATGCACTACCACGCCTGGCTAATTTTTTCAGTTATTGTAGAGACAAGGTCTTGCCAAGTTGCCTAGACTGGTCTCAAATCCCTGGGCTCAGGCAATCCTCTTGCCTCTGCCTCCCAAAGTGCTGGGATTATAGGTGTGAGCCACTGTGCCCAGCTTAAATAGGCATTTATTTTTATTTATTTATTTTTTTGAGTTGGTGTCTCACTGTCGCCCAGACTGGAGTACAGTGGCACACTCCTGGCTACCGCAGCCTCAACCTGCTGGGCTCCAGCGATCCTTCTGCCTCAGCCTTCCAAGTAGCTGGAACTACAGGCATGCGCTACCATTC